TTGCCGGGAAAAGCAGACACAAATTCAGGAGTGCCAGTACAAGTCGAAAACGTTCCGGCGCATGCTGCAAGTTAAACCCTCCAATAAGGTGGGTTTTAACGTGGCCCGTGACGTCTTGATTCCACCACCAAATACACCATGCATTTCGCTTGAGTTGGAAGCGTCGCCACTGCGTTCTTCCAGTCCATTTCGCACTGCTTCTTGAAGTTCTCCTCAAAAGTCTCGTTCTCATGTGTCGACAATGCCGATAAGTTGAACAGAACCATCTTCTTATTGTCGATGGTATGCCTATCCACCAACGATCGGCTCACAAGCGTCGCTAATGACGTTTTCCCAGTCATTGGTGGGCTTTTCACCAGCAGGACATGCGTTTCTTCGAGTCGGCGGATGATATCCGCGGTGAGAGTGGCTCGAGAAAGCGTTCGTGGATCTTTCAGATCAATGCCTTCTCCTTCCACAATCGATCCACGCGTGCCATACCAGGCGATATTCGGAATTGTAGCGCTATTCGCTGGCTGCGATAATGCTGAACCAACTGCACTCTCCGGAACCACCACCAGCATGTTCACAGGACCCCTCCCTTCTACTTCTTCGTCTTCATCCACTCCACCGACATCCACATCCGACAAACCCACACATCGAAGCCTTGCTCGTGCCGCTCCCAGCAGCTTCAGACCAGTCGTATCAATCACATCCTTTTTTACTTCTTCTTCAGTCAGCCACGGACCGCGACCCTCGTCCTTCTTTGCCAGGAAGAGCTGCAGCTTGTCTGCATCAACCTCTTTGAAGTCGTTGGCCTTCTTCGCCTTGATCGCTTCCTTCAAGTCATCCACAGTTTTGCCTTCGTCTACTTCCACGGAGAACGCGCTTCCCGCCACACCAACAATAGAACAGAAAAGCTTCACCATCTCTACATGAGGCGATGGATTCTGGAATGTGGAAAAAGGGAGGGGGAGTTGAAAATGTATCACCCGTACCTAAGCGGGAAAAGAAGGTGATGTCACAGAAGGGGCGCTACCTATTTAGTGAGTCACTCAAAATACAAAACTCAAAATACAAATTTCATGTTATTTCGACCTCATTTTGTAAGAGCATAACGCGAATTTGGTCGGATTGCTTTTTTGCGCGCTTCGCGTGTGCGCTGGTAGTAGCGCTTCTGCGCTGCATTCATGCACTCTTGGTATTGCTCATGTGAATTTACCTCCATCTTTGTTTATTATTAATTTTATATTTATCAGGATGGAAAAGTTAAAAAGCTGGTACATGTAGTCCTAGGCAAGCATTGGCACATACAACACAGCGATAAAAGTTCATTCACGATAGTGCCTCGTAAAGATCGAAACAACGAACTACGTATACATGTAAGAGTACATAGGCATCGACTGGACTAACTGTCGCGCATAATCCATCCGCCTCGCCATGAGAAACTCTGGTTCCACCACATCTGCCATCAACTCGTATCGTTCCATCATCTCCTCTGCACGAGCATCAACCGGCTGGGGCAAGAAGTCATCAACCTTGATTGTCTTGAAAGATCCAGGCATGAATGACGGAGGAGGTGGGGCAGAATCCGTTCGTCCCAGTACGGCTGCTTCGATAAATCTGAACGCGTTCTTTGGATACTTCAGCGTAACTTGGGTCAGAACGTGCTTGTCGCTGAACCAAGAGAAATGCCAGTGGTCGTTTAAATCCGTCAGCAAACTCAGCGGATAGCAATTGAGAGGCGCCTTCATGCTGCAGCTCACAAGTTGACCAATTGCTTGAGGAACATGGCCCGGTTCGACTTTCTTCTTGAGCTCGATCACCAAGCTGACCCCAGCCAGCTTAATCAGTGGGTTTTTCGCTGTTCGATTGATGAGCAATACATCAGCTGTGCCTTTCATAGCAAACGGAAGTCTTGGGTCCACGATGTTAAGAACTGATTTATCGCCCGCAATGTCATCCAACAAGAAGTCTCCTCGATCTATCAGCGTCTTCAAATGCTGCTGCAAGTACGCCATGTACCCAGCCCTTTGACTTTCCTCGCTCTCCACGATTTTTGGAATCCACGAATAACCGGCGATGGAAGTATCGACTGGCTCCTTGACATCAGGAATATTTTCGGTCAAGCGCATCTTCTTGACAATTCGCTCTTCCATCGCAGTATTCAGATCAGAAAACGAATACGCAGACGCCTTCTCATCTCGTTCCCTGAGAACCTTATTCATTGACATCTCCACTTGCTCTACAGTCAGTGGCGTTGTCGCTGCAGACATCTCTTTTGAGATAGTACCGTCTTGCTCCGGAACCACCACCAGCACGTGAACAGGTGTGTTCATCGACTCGACATCCTCTAGCGTGGGTACGAACTTGACGTCCTTCTCCGACAAGCCAACCAAGCTGAGCGGCGCTCCTGCAACGCCCAATAGCTTCAAATCACTCGTGTCACTGACACCGTCCTTCACGTCGTTCTCCGTTAGCCACACCCCAGCGCCTTTCTTCTTCTTCGCCAGGAAGAGCTGCAGGTTCTTGGCGTCGCATGTGATCGTCGATGCGTTCTCCTCCTTCACCGCCTTCTTTAACGCGGAAACCGACGCACTCTCGTCTATGTCCACCTCGAACGCGCTTCCCGCCACACCAACAATCGCGCAGAAGGGCTTCACCATATCTCTTTGAGCCGGCTGATTCTGGAATGAGAGAAAAGGGGATACCGGTAAAATGATGCTCCCGTACTTAAGCGGGAAAAGAAGGTGGTGTCACAGAAGGGGGGATAATTTTGCACCCGCTCTCTGGATTTTATCCAAAGTCCCGTGATAATCCAGCGATTTCGTTTACCCTTTCATAACAGTTTTCGAAATGCTCATTTTAAAAAGCAGCCAAATAATAAATGCACGTACAGACATCGACACAAAAAGCCGGAGTTGATAACACAATTCCGATAGTAAAATCTGCGACACAAAAACTCGTACGACTTGCAAAACATATTTTGATTGGATGAATAAAACTGAGAGCATCTTACCCCTGTGCTCTGCGTCCTTCCGTCCGCGGCTAGGGTTCTAAAATGTAACGCAAATACGCGCGTTCTACTGCGCAGCGAAGGCGGCGTCGATTGGCCAAAACTGACTTTATGTGGTGTACACACTGTATGTGGTCTACACATCGTACTTAAATGCACCGCTCAAAATTTCATTTTGCCCTCGTTTTCAAAACAGAAGCCGCGGAACGCCACGTTACTCAAGGTACGCTGCGTGTATGCATGTTAGTTTACATTAGTAGCTACCAAGACACACATACGCAGATAGTCCGAGGTTCCTGGGGCTTCTTAGGATGTAGCTTATAATTTGCGGGATTCTATCCTGCAAGTAGGTAGCCGTGCTAAGAGCGTTGTCCGAATAGAAAAACTGATTAATTTTCCCTCGACAACTTTTTTTCTGCGAAGAAAAAAATGAGGCCAAATAAATCGTCGCATGTCCAAGTGAGAAATTGGCTCCGCCAAATTTATTCCACCAAACCTATTTAAATTCATACAATCATTTTGATAGGTTGTTTCCCTTGCACTTCAATTCCGCACGTACATTGCTGAAAGAAGACGGCCAGCTGGAGCACACTATGTCTACGCAGTAGTGCAGCAACGCTTTGGCAAGTGAAGAGACCCCTCCAATTGCAGGCTTATCTGAAAGACTCGTGGTGATCCGTGGGAAGGAAATGGATCCAGTGCTGTGGTCTGAAGCCTCCAGCATCGAAAGCGGGGAAGCCTCTCATCAATCGTCAAGCGAAGCTACTGAAGCCCCACCGACAAAAAAACCTCGACTGGCCTCCGATCAAGTTAACGTGAGAGCATCACGTACGAGCATCCCGACCAAGAAGAAGGCTGTTTCCAAGAAGAAGACTGCACACAAGAAGACGAAGAAGGCAGCTCCCAAGAAGAGCGCTCCTGCTAAGGAGACATCTGCTCCGAAGAAATCTAAGACCCCAGCCCCACCGATGCGCTGGACGGTCGCGCTGACAGCGCTAGCAATCGAGACTCGCTACAAAAACCCGCGTGTGCTGAAGAAATTTGCAGTGTCGACAGCAGAAACGAAGATGATGCGTGCAAAGTGGGAAGCCACGGTCCACACATTTTTGGAGCAAGCCTTGATTGATAGCGCCTGGGGTGATGCGGAGCAGCCACGCGACGTGAGCGTGGACCAGTTCAAGAACAAGCTTAATGCTGTTCGCACTGCATATCGAGCGAAGCGTACGCAGCTGCTCGCAACGGGAAACAAAGCGCTGGAGGATACGTCTGGATCAGAAGACGACGAGGAGGAGAGACAATACGCGGAGATGCCGCGCAATTTTTTCTTCACTCGTCAGAAAATATCGACGGCAGCTTGACATGTGATCCAATGGATGTTAACCCAAAGTACCGTGTCGCTCTTGGCAAAGAGCTCACGGCCTTGTGGCCACTGCTTTGCGACGTCTTTTCAGGTAATCCTGGCTGCACAGGTGAACCAATCATTGAGTCTGGGGTTTCGCGCGACCGACTTACTGAAGACGTAGACGATGAGCATAGTGTGTACGTGAACGGTGACGAATCTGACGAAGCGTGCTCCGATACATCGCTGGATGCACGCAACGAAGCCAAAGCCAATGCCAAGGCCCGTTCTCAATCAGCAAAACCAAGTTCGAATCGACCTGTGGATGTGATTGCAGGGTCGTTGGAAGCTGGATTCGAATCCATCGAGCGGATTCTGACGGCTCGACAGTCTACGAGGTCTGGTGCCCCGTTTGGAGGGGGGGGCATGAACGAAGCAATCGTAAAGTTGACGTCGACAATTGAGGCAGCCAACGCTAGTCAAGCTGCATTTTTGGAGATGCAACGCGATGCGAGCCAAGCATTGCGGCAAAGCATGGAGAGTCTCCAGCAGATGTCAGCATCTGCGGTTGAAATTTTTTGCGAAGATGAAGGAGCAGCTATATGGTGTCAACGTCTGATGCAAAATGCCGGAATTGTAGCCATTCCGGGCTACGATACTTTTACTTTATTCGTTATCATGGCGGTAAAATTGCTCCATGTACGTGTTTCTCTTCGCCTCACCCAAATTGATTTCCTCTTCGCCTCACCCAAATTGATTTCCTCTTCCGTTCGCTCCCAGTGACGGTCAAATGCGTGCATTGCTTGCATTGCCGTTCTGCGTGATACATCGTCTCGATTCCATTCAAACTCCTCTTCATCACCAATGTCAACCAGCAGGTTGTGAAGTACTGCTGCGCTACATATCATTCGTGCATTCGTCGTGTGTGCATGACGATCTGTCACGCCATTCAGCACTTTGAAACGCCCTTTAATTTTCCACTCAACATATATGCGTGTTGATGAAAGATGAAAATTGAAGCTGTTCAATGAGTGAATACATTAGTTAATACATCAAGGTTGGGCGGTGGCACGAGTACAGAGGTCACCGTTCAACTTACCATCGTTGTTTTCGCGACAACCGATTTCCTCGTCGTTCGTCAAAAGGAACCATAAGAAATGGCCAACTCTTGAACCCTGCATCGGCTAGCCAGTTGATCCCAGGAGGACACAAGTATCGTGCGCGGGGCCCAAGCACTTCAGATTGATTCCACATCGATTGATCGGAATTACTTCCAGTGAACACACCAAAGTATCGAAATTTAGCACGATAGTCGATAGCAGCCAAACAGTTGTAGGATGGATTTCCGCTCTTGTCGTAAAAACCCTAAGCGAAGCGACCACATCAAACCATTAGCGCACGCATCGCAGTAACAAAATCAAACAGCGCCAGACCATGTGATTCCTTGGACGGCGAGTTCGAATAATAGTGCCGTCAAAGACACATGCCACATCCGGAAAATCACCCCCACGTCGAACCAACCCTTCCACCAATCCATCCCATTCGTCTACAGCATCGAGCGCTGGGAAAAAAAATGACATCATGCATCATGTCGTAGAGAAGATCTTCAAGGCGTTTAATGTAAACTCCAGCAACAGTTCTTGACATTCCTAGTTGCGCAGCTGCCCCTCCAATCCCGTCATCATCAATGCCACAGCCATTGCCGTAATAGGTTAACAAGACAGCGAGCCCGAAATCAAAGTTGTACTGAGTGTTTGACCCAGGTAAACCATACTTGCGGTAATACAACGGCTCGAGCAAGGCTATCAGGGCATAAAATGACTCCGGGCTGCAGCGCACTGTCTTCTTGTAGGCTGTATGAGATCGTTGTGACTTCAGACGTGCAAAAAAGTCAGTCCGGACTACGATTTTCTCTTGAGTAGGTCCACGAATCGATCTTCTGTCCAGTTGACCGACCGACACAACCAAAAGAATTTACAGCAAGCGCAGCGCCAAGATCTCCTCTACGTCCAGGTCAACGAAATGGTCTCCTTCCTCGTCGTCCATGCCATCAGCAGCTTCATCAAGATTTCCACGCAGCTGTGTCATTCCAGCGTAGCGAGAGGCACGGTAGTCTGCGAGTTGGCTCCGTGTTGATGAACTACTCGACAATCTTCTCTCGCCACCACCTTCTATGCTGAACAAAAGTGGTCTGCCTTCCTTGTCGGAATCCGTACACCCCTGGACAGTCCCTAGTTCCCTTGCCAGCGTCGTATTTGCTTCATAGTTGCTGTTTTCTAGCACAATGACGGCATCATCCCAGTTAAAGCAAACATCAAGTAGGATCATGACGATTAGACGCACCAGAGTCAATGGCCATCGGCATCACACCCTCCGCGACGCTTGTGTGTAAATGCACGCTTTGCTCCGCGCAGAAAAACGCTCTTTAACGCAAAGCTTTCTCCATTCCGCACTCGACTCGCCACTTCAACACTAAAAAATGAAGCGCGACTCGAAAGAAATAGGTAACGAGCTTCTTTCTTTTTACCGCTTTTAAATGAAGCCTCTGCGGCACCTCGTTTTTCTTAGCGCTACTTCACAAAAAAATAGGTGAGAAAAATAGATCACTTTTCTATTTAGACAGCAGTCTAAGGGAATCTAGTTCTAGAACCCTCTAGATTCTTGGGGCTTCATCCCACCGCCCACTATGCGCGAGAGCACATTTGGCACCTGATCCATTGACCGCAAACCCAACAGCGAACAAGTTAAGCCGGTCGTTAATGGTTATTGATGGACACGCACATTGCGTGCGTGCAGTTGGTCAGGAGTGGTACGGTAACTGGCCTCTTTTAACCGATTTGTGGGATGGGGGCTGTAATAGCCTATCAATAACCAGCCTTTGCAATTAACGGTCGCCTTTTGGCAAAAGGATATCGCACCTCAAGCTACAGTAGTATTCGGGGGCCCAACCCTGAAGATTCGACTGCACCATTTGCAAACTAAAACCGCTCCGGGCCTCTCAGCCCGTGACTGTGGGATAAGTGATCGGAGATAACCTTGATGGGAGCAAGCAATCCCGAGTAGTACGCAGATGTCCGCACACCCTACTTTATGAAAACTACTGCTACGTGTGGTGTACTTAGCCATTGTCTAACGCGTCACGTTTACGTGTTCGCAGAACTATGGCTCGAACTAAGCGGAAAAGGACCCGTGAGGAGCTGGAGGAGACCCAGCGCGAGAATGAACGCATTAACGCGACACCCATCCAAGAGGAAAAGGAAGCACGGAAACGGCGTCAAACCAAACGAAGGAAGAAGCGCTATGACTTGAACAAATAGCTGAAGGCTCTCAGCATGCAATAAGGATATACAGAGATTACGGAGGCCCGGACGGTACCTGTTGAGGAGCGTGAAGAAAAGACAGAAGAGTCCGATCCTGTGCTACACCAGCGCCAGTTTGCGGCTCAAATGGAGGCGGCGCTTCAAGCGGGAGCCGCCGAAGAGGATTTATTTGCGGTGCTTGTAATACCACAAGCTACAGCTCAAGAAGGAACCCTGTATCCCTGTCTCGGCAGCGCTGCGTGCTCGCGGGAACATATATAGCGAGACATTATCTCAGAAAGAACGTCGTCGTGCCGGTGATGCACAGAGAGCACGCACGAGGCGTGCCAATATGACACTATCGCAGCGTGACCGTGTTAGGAAGAGAGACGCGGAGCGCAAACGCGCCCGAAGAGAGCGTCTGCGTGGCGGTGAGCTCCAGGAGCTACGAGAGCAAGAGAGAGCTCGCGTTCAAGCAAGACGTGGGGCTCTGTCGGAACAAGAACGAGATGCTGAACGTGAGCTTCACCGACAGCAGGAAGGTTATCGACGAGGTCGCGTAACAGATGAGGAGCGTCAGCAAGAGCTCGAGCAGGTGCGCACTCGACGCCAATGCGTCCGTCATGGCCACGCTCTTATTTCCCTCGCAGACTTCGACGCGTCCATGATAACGGGTGACGACGTGGTGAACGGTCGTCACAAGCTCCCGGCTACAACGGTTTGTCCGATCTGCAATGCTTGGAAGTGGCCAGGCGAGTCGGCAATATCATGCTGTCTGGCAGGCAGGGTAAAGCTGCCTCCACTGAGCCCCGCGCCACGGACGTTGCTTCAGTTGTACGGAGATCCAGAGTTCCGCCGTCAAATTCGTGCCTACAATCAAGCCTTCGCGTTTACGTCGATTGGTGCTTCGTGCTCAAACTGATCGTTTCAAAATGTACATCAAGACGAGAGCGTTGCGGGTACACACGGCGTGTACACATATCGCATTCAAGGGGCTATGGGGCACTACCTAGGGTCTCTCCTCCCCCACATAGACCGTCGGACAGGCGCGCGGGTAGCACCCAAGTTTGCGCAGATCTACATTGTGGATCCAGACATGCAACGCCGCGCGGAGCGACGTCTTGGTATATTCGCGGATCTGGATCGTGTTGCACTACTAGACATCGAGAAAATGATGGCAGAGCACAACCCATTAGCGCAACGGTTCCTCCACTTTCGGCAGCAATTGCGTCAACACAACACGGAGGCTCCAGTAGATTTGGTCTTCCGTCTGCATGATAACACCTCGCGACCGCGGACGCATAATCGCCCCACTGTGTCTGAAGTGGCTGCCACTCTCATTGAGGATGGCAACCTGGCTCGGCCTCGGGATCTACTACTCTTTACACGCGATCAAAGGCTGCTACGTTTGTACGAGACCCACGCCGATTACGATCCACTTCAATATCCTCTTCTCCTTCCATATGGAGAGAAGCGCTGGACCTACTCAGACGAGTTCGCGAATGGTGCTGAGTATCGAAACAAGAAGGCGATGTCGCTTCGTGAACACGTCGCGTTCCGCCTTCATCAGAATGTGGATGACCAGTCCGCTCTCCACCAAGGTGGGCGTCTATTTCAGCAGTGGTGTATAGATCAGCGTGCAAAATATGAGCAAGAACAGCTTCGCTGGGTGGCCGACAATCAGAAAACACTACGCGCCGATCAATACAGGGGTGTTCAAGACGCTTTGCCCAACGAAGATACTTTGGTTCTGGCGGAAGATTAAGAGCTACTGTCGGAATATGACCGGGCCCAGAACAGATTGGTGCACCCGGATCGGGACGGAGCCAGCAGAGGACGTCCAACCCACTTTCTTAATCAGGTTGGCAAGCGTATCATACTACCGGCTTCGCACCTGGGTAGCTCGCGGTCCATGTACAAGTCCTATCAAGATTCGATGGCAATTGTTCGGGAGTATGGACGGCCCGACGTCTTCCTGACGGAAACGTGCAACCCCAAATGGGACGAGATTCTTGAAGCGATACCTTCCGACATCCAGACAGCTCAAGATCGACCAGACATCGTGGCTCGCGTGTGGCAGCAGAAACTGCAAGCGACGCTTGACGATTTAAACCAAGGCGTTCTGGGGCGAGTGCGCGCGCGGATTTGCGTTGTCGAGTTTCAAAAACGAGGGCTCCCCCACGCTCAGGTACTGATTATTTTGGCTGACGAAGACAAACCTCGAACCCGCGAGATCGTAGACAAGATGGTATGCGCTGAGATCCCAGATAAGGATACAAACCCTCAGCTGTATGAGACGGTCATGTCGTGTATACTCCATGGTCCATGCGGGCCTGCAAACCCTTCCTGCGCGTGTATGAAGGACGGCAAGTGCACCAAAGGATATACGAAGCCCTTAGCAGAAGTTACACAGGCCAATGCCAACGGATATCCAGTGTACAGACGGCGTCGACGGCACGAAGGTGTTCTATAGTTCAAAGGCAGAGAATACGACAATGCCACGATCAACCAGGGGGTTATACCGTACAACCCGTACTTATCCCAGAAGTACAACTGCCACATCAATGTCGAAGTGTGCACGGATAATACTGCGGTTAAATACCTGTACAAGTATGTGTACAAAGGACCCGACATGGCTATACTCACTGTGGAAGAAGTCCGAGGAGGGCAGCAGAGTGCGCGTCGAGAACCAAATGAGATTCTACGTTTCCTGAGCGCCCGGTACATTTCTCCGGTGGAAGCTTGCATGCGTCTGCTCGATTTCACGATTCAGGGGGAAATCCATGCGGTGACACAGCTAACGGTTCATCTCGAGTCAGGCCAGACAATTTTCTTTCGCGAGACGGAAAACCCGGAGGCGGTTTTGGAACGTGGTAGTCACACGACGTTGACCAGATTCTTTGAGTTGTGTGCGAGTGAAGAGCCTCAGAATCATATTGCCAGGACGATGTTGTA